TCATACAGCGCTCACAATCAAAAGTCCTGCGAACTATCACTGGGGCACCATTGTATGTTCGGAACGAAAACATCCACTGGGATCTGGGCATACCACCGGTTAAAGATCAAATATCAAAGCAAAAAGCGGACTACCCTAATAAGCTTACACTGCACCCAAATAATCTCGCAAGGAACCTAACACGGGTTTCGAACAGGACTCGTCATTTCCTAAGATTTGATATAGTTACTGTTAGTCTCATTATAGAGAAGAGAATAAATAAATAAAGCATATAAAAAAAAGAAAAAGCTAGACCATTTGCACGTGTTCCGTGGCTACAGTAAAGGTCGAAATTACAAGCATGAATACAGTCATTATTAATGACTCATTAATACGACATAGATTCCCACTAATATATACTTGGACATCATCGGCATACATAACGACTTTACTATGGATCGGACGTCAGCCGTCGGGTACACAGGGAGACCAACGGGGGACTCGTCCCCTGCCGTAACTGTGTTCACCGATGGTAGTGCGACTATACTTTCCCCGTGAGGGCGGCTGAAAGCAGGTCCATAGTCTAGCTATGACTATGGATATGAATCGTAGTCGGGCGGCCCTGGGTAGATCTTTAAAGTGCCTACCCTCAAGTCAGTCGTGTCAAGCGACCCGTGTCCACTGAGTTTCAGGTTTGCAGCTGAGGGGTAAATCCAGCTGTGTTTTAACGGAGTCACGGTCGACTTTTTCATAGACCCCCAACAACCCTCAGGCCCGCCGCGCTTGCCTGGTCGAGCAACGCGGGCGATTATTTACTGAAAATGAAACCTAACACCGTAGCCTCGGACCTCACGGGGGAGGTTAAGCCCCAAACCGATTCCGCTACCATCGAGGAAGGGCCGCGAACACCCAGCCAGGGTGCTCCGGCTCCGATGGGTACGGAAGGGGCTGCTAAGACAAGCACCCCACTAGACACCAAGAACATCAACCCACACAACAGCGGAACCCAGCCGGGTACCAGCAAGGCAGCCACTGCTACGCATCAGCAGCGCAAGGCCAGGGTCAGTCGGACTCGTTTCATTCTCGGCAAGATTGCCAAGAATAAGGGCAGAGGTCAAGACTGACCAGCGCGATGCGGAGGACAAGACTCGAGGCCTTGCGGAGATCGCAGACTACGAGGAATACATGAGGACGCGCCCGGAGTCCAAAGACACCGCTCGCACAAGGCAAGCGAGAACGCACCCAAACGGGCAAAGGACGCTCAGGGGAGGCCAAGACCGACCTCCTTTGTGAAGAAGGCCAAGAAGTTCAGCGACGTAGCCAGAGACAGTGGGAACGGAAGTGGGAGGAGATCGAGGTCAAGGTGGCCGACATGATAGCTGAAAGGCATTTAGCAGCCGTGCCAAATGGTCCGATCCCCTCCTTCGACTCGTCGGACATGGTCAGGGGGCACCGGGTGATCAAGTGCGATGACTCGTTCTCAAGGTCCTTCCTGGCGAAATGCATAGCCAAGATTAAAAATGCATGGGACGGCCCTAGTAATAGGCTCGTCCACGCCAAAGAGATTCCAAAGAGGCCGCGGGCTCGCATTTGGTTGCCAAAGGAGCAGACTGACCAAGGAAAGGTGCTGTCGCTGCTGAGGGCTCAGAACCCAGAAGTGCACACATAGGACTGGGCGATACTTAAAGTAGAGAAGGAGATGAAGACGAGCCAGGCGTTCCTCTTCCTCATCCACCAGCGCTGCCTGCCGCAGCTTGAAAAGGCCGACTACACCATCCGGTACGGCCTACGGAAGGCCAAGATCAAGGTCTTTCTGGCTGAGCCGGATGATGTTCTCGAGGAGGTCGATGACACCAACAAGCTATTGGATGACCTGGTCATCGACGACAAGACCCCAGACGTAACACCCAACACCGATGCCTAAAGTCGTGCAGATTAACCTGAAGCACAGCACGCATGCTTCAGCCAATCTTGCAATTCTTCTCAGTGAGAGCAACATTGACATAGGCATCGTTCAAGAACCATGGACTCGAGACGGACAAATCTCGGGTCTAACACAACAAGGATATACACTATTTTATACTAACTCGACAGGTAGGCCGAGAGCAGGTATTATTATAAAGAATAACTATAAAGCACTTCGAAGCCACAGTCTTAGTACAACGGATCTAGCAGTTGCCAGATTTGTGGCAGCGGATGGGACATCGATGGTGATAGCCTCATCGTACATGGCCCATGATGTACCGGCTCCACCTGAGCCAGTCATCAAGCTGCTGCAATGGGCGAAAGACACAAAGACTACTCTGGTGCTCGGATGAGACGCTAACTCGAGGCACACACAATGGGGAAGCTCGGAAACTAACGAAAGGGGTGAGTCTCTTTTTCATATTATTATTTGCCGCAACATCACCATATGTAATAGAGGTAACACACCAACCTTTACATTCCCAAGCACTAGGTAATTTCATGGATGAGAAGAGGCGATTACCAAACCGGAACCGAAACGTAACCCTTGTAGAACAAATTCGGTGAACTAGTCTACTCGAAAGTTAGTAACAGAAGAATACGGATACAAACCTCTACGACAACCCTGGACAAGGAAGTAGAGGACTTAACAAACATTCTAAAAAATGCATATAAGGAAACATGCAAGGTTTCATACTCTAAGAAACAACACCCTTTATGGTGGACCGAAGAGCTTTGCACTCTGAGAAAGAGGGCAAGAAAAGCCTATAACTCCAGCTATGCTACCAAGGAATGGGAGCCATACAAAGAAGCACAAAAAGCATACAAAAAAGCGTTATACGCAGCCAAGAAAGACTCTTGGAGGACTTACTGCGAATCGCTCGAAGGTATAAAAGACTCGGCTAGACTAAGCAAGGTCCTGGCTTGCATAAGACTAACACACATAACGCTTCTATGGAAGGAAGCCAAAGTTGTATTTATACCAAAACCAGGAAGAAGAGGTCATATCCTCGCAAAGGATTACAGGCCGATCAGCCTTATCTCCTTCCTAATGAAAACGCTGGTACGAATGCTCGATATTTGTATTCGGGAAAACACCGAGAGCAGCCTCAATCGGACGCTCAGCATGCGTACCGAAAGGGCAGATCGACAGAAACGGCACTACACGAAGTAGTCTGCCACATAGAAAAATCGCTACATTTTAACCAGTATACGATGGCCACCTTCTTAGATATAGAAAGTGGGTTCAATAATGTAAACGCCGAATCCATACTGAGCTCCCTCAACTCGATCGGCATTAAAGGAGAGCTTGGATCGGAGTAATACTCATGAGCAGGACGATAACAGCCGAACTGAGTGGCACTTACCTCACACGCTTTGTGAAGAGAGGCACACCTCAGGGCGGGGTTCTATCGCCACTGCTCTGGCTTATTGACATGAACAACATATTGAGAGAGCTCAAAGTTAAAGTTAGTGGCCTACGCAGACGACGTAGTTCTGCTAGTCTCAGGACCATTCCCAGATGTCAATAGTAACATCATGACGGGGGCCCTTACCGGACTCAATGAATTGGCAAAAACCTGCCGACAGGTATAAACCCGAGTAAAACCGAACTAAAGCTCTTCACGCGAAGAACAAAGATCCCAACATACGGTAAACCGTATGGTAAACCGTATTCGAGTTCGAAGCTATCGGGTAAAGCTAAATACCTAGGAGTAATACTAGACCCGAAGCTCTCGTGGAAACTAAACATCATGGAACGAGTAAGAAAGGCCAGAATAGCCTTCTACTCGTGAACAAAAATGTTCGGCAAAAACTGGGGTATACACCCTAAGATAATATTATGGCTTATACAGCAGTGGTAAGGCCAATTCTCACATACGGGGCACTAGTCTGGTGGCCAGCCCATTTTCCATTAAATTTGTAATACATTTAAATCAAACCTGCTCCATTTTATTAAGATTTCGCGGTTTCTTAAGAATCGATAACACTGGGCAACGACATTAATGCTTTTTAAATTTACCGCGATGGTATTACCACTTTATCTTTTATACCCCATTCTTAGAATATTTTAAGGATTTTTTAAGAGGGAGAAATAAATACATAAATGTGTCGTGTTGAGAAATTTTGACACGCGGCCAACTCTACTACAAAGTCATAATCCGTGCTAAAATCTTATTTGAAGCTTAAAAGGCACTTTAACACTTAAGTATGGCTTGTGATTCCTTATAATTTCTTTAAAAATTAAAAAGCTAATCTTTGGACAAAAACGGTCATATGGAAGCCCAAAAATATGCATTTATGCATATTCTTCACAATCTGTCAAGGGACTTTGATATAGATCAAAGACAGAACAAACTCCAGCACACACTAAGGGCTTGATCAGCTTTTTGAAGTTTACCGCTCTGTCGACGCTATAATTCCCAACCCGTCATAGCGCGGTTTGCATGGTAACCCACTTCGATCGTTGACTAAGACAGCGATTTTACTGCTGATGATTGTAGTTGACTACTACAAGAAACATGCATGTACAGTGAAGCCTCTTCGTTCCTTTTTGTGTGTTGGCATAATGTCGACGTCTTGACTTCTTGAAGTCTAAGCCGACATGACCTCGAGTAAGCTAAAAAAATTAGAAAAATACTTGTCACAAACCAAAGTTACATGCGGTTCTAATTTTAGCAAAATTTTAAAAAATTTTTAATTCTTTACTTTTTTTAAGATTGTTAAAATCGAAATGTAAATGTAAATGTAAAGTTAATTTTAAATTCCAACCACTTTAGAAGTTAAGCATCAAAAACATCAAAATATTGATGTTGGGGCTGTTTGGGGCCACTGGGGGGTCATGTCTGATCTTAGTGGGTGGTTAGCCCCCCAATGGAAAACTGTGCAATGCAGTTTGGGCTATGGTCCTATCTCCTTAAAAATCGGTCTTTCATTTTATAATCTTTAACGATGTTAAGAATTTGTGTTTGATTTTAAAATATGAGTTTTCCGTATTAAGATCGTATTATACTGTGTTATTATAATCAGTACACATTTTAAATTTAACAAGTTACCTCTTCCTTGATGAAGTTGAAGTGCAGTTATTAGTTCAGCGCAATTGTCAGGCGATAAGAGGCCAGTTTCAACGTTAATCAATTCTTTGAGCGAATTATAATCACGGACTTTTCCGTTTGGGTTCATTATAAGCTTTAGCGGTATTTTTTCCAATTTTGTGAGCTCCAATGTGGAATTTGATTCTGAATTCTCTTTATAGGGATTTATAGCGTCATTAGAGCACTCATTCCCTAAATATGTAAACGATTTTATATGTATGTATGTTTATGTAAAGTGGTAACTCACAAGTTTACTGTATCTATTTTTAGATCGATTATATTTAAAAAAAAGAGAAGTGAAATGTTTCTTTGTTTATTTATTCAATTAAAATTTAGTTTTTCCAAAAAGTATTTAAAATAAACTATATATAAATATAGTCTCCCCTAATAACCGGTTCTCACGTAAGTAATTACTATTATTATTATTTTCTTATTCCTGGATTGTTAAATTGGTTAGAGACTGTTCGTTAGATGAGCAACAAGATGTTAAGGTGAACAACAAGATTCCAATAACCTTGACAACTAAAAATTGAGGCGACAAATTTTGTAAGTTTTAAAATTTAATGTCATCTTTAAACTTTAAACTGAAATTAACTTTAAATACATAGCCCAAACAACTATAACTCTTAGCTGCACATAAATTATTATCTCACTATGCTTCCACTGCGTCTAATTAAGAATATAAGGAGTGTATTAAAAATATATATAATGTAAAATTTGTATTGTATATAGAAAGCGAAACATTTAAATGCAGATAGAAAGAACAATGTATCATGTGTACAAAAAAATATCACGCGTCCAAGATCCTCTTTTAAAGGACTTACCGATAATTTGTATACCCTTGGATAGGGTATTATGATTTCAGTCAGAAGTTTGCAACGCAGTGAAGTAGACGTTTCCGACCCTATAAAGCAGCGGTCGGCACACACATACGTTGACATTTTGTTTTATATTTGTGTGAGTAATTTGCACTGGACAGCTCATCGATGTGTGTGTGCAGACCGCTGTTCTACGTTATACGTGTGCGAGCAGCGCGCCGGCAGAACAAAACCCTATGCTCACTTAATAGGCCGCTGCCGACCGCTGCTATAAAGTATATATATTCTTGATCAGCATCACTAGACGTCTGTCTGTTTCTACGCAAACTAGTCTCTCAGTTTTATAGCTATCGGGCTTTCACAAAAGTCTTCTTTCTTTTGTAGGTAGTATATAAGTCGGAACGAGCCGGATCGGATAACTATATCATATAGCTCACAATGTAAAACAAGAAATGAAGCTAGCTCCGGCAAGCCGAAGCTTATATACCCTTTCAGATCATTCCTATTAATTTAAAAATCGCAAAAATGTTAAATTTCCTATTATATCACATTCATTTTTCGATCGTTCCTATGGCAGCTTTATGATATAGTAGTTCAATCTTTTTAAAATCAAAAAACGAAATTCGGAAATATTTAAAAATAGTCATATCCCAGAGTAGAAGAGAATGTAATAAAATCAAAAAAGATATAATTTTTTCGACCGTCCAATTTTTTTAAAATTTTATCCGAAATTCAGAAATTTATAAAAATTAATGTTCTTAAAAGAAAAAGGTAAAATATCAAAAAAACACCGAAGCTATAATTTGTTTTTTCCGATTATTCCTATGGGAGCTAAAAGATATAGTTGTCCGATCCGGTCGGTTCCGACTATTTTCTGAAAGAAGACTTTTGGGAAAGTTTCATCCCGATAGCTCAAAAACTGAAAAACTATTTTACGTAGAAACGGATAGACAGAGGGACGAACGGACGGACAGACGGACACGGCTAAATTGACTCGTCTAGTGAAGCTGATCAAGAATATATATACTTTATGGGGTCGGAAACATCTCCTTCACTGCGTTGCAAACTTCTGACTGAAATCATAATACCCTCTGCAAGGGTATAGGGCATAGGTCCCATAGAAACAACAGGGTGAAATACAAAGGTGAAAATTGGATGATTTTTTGATTTGCCTATATTTTGTTGCTTATATTTGATCATATTTGATATTTATACTATTATGGTCACCTTTAAATTCGTAAAATCTTCAATTGTACTTTAACTCGGTTTTTTATCATTATGTACAAAATTGTATTTTAATTTAATTAGGAGTGCAGCTTATAGGGTAGTAAAATCTTCTATTGGGCACTGTACTTAAATTTTTAGTCAGTATCTGGTAATACAAACGTGAGAACCGGATTTTATTAATGATGAGAGTAAAAATGATTAAAAAAAACTATTACCTGGGGATCTACCTTCATGAACCCACTTGTCTGATCGTTTTTTTCGATTGACATACATTGACTGACCCTTAGAGGTTTGGTTACTGATATCACTTAATGAATGTGATATTCTTCGTGCTAGCTCAACTTGGTCTTCCACAGTAGGGTGTAGTGTTGGAGAATAAAATGCAGACGAGGCATATAGCTTTCCTATTTTAAATAAGTTTAAGATTTAAGTTAATACAAATGTAACTAAAATTTACTTTAAAAGGCGATACGTAATGCACTTGTTTGAAGCGTTTGTTATAGCAAGCCATCACTTTCTTTTTAGCTTAACAAAATAATAATTAAAAACAGCGTAGCATGAATAATATTATTCAAAGCTTTGTTAAAAACGGATTTTACGTATCACCTTCTCTTATTAATATTTGTATTACTTACGATTTTTCGGCAATATTTCAGTAGCATCGGTCGCAGGAGTAAAAATTTTGCGCAAATCAACTGTCTTCGATATATTTGTGGATTCCTAATTAATAAAATAAGAATATGTTCTATCTTATCTTATTTTGTTTGTCTTATTTATGCTTATCTTGTGCCGCTGCCAAGAGCGAAGTTTTACAAAGAAAAATACGCCTTGCGTATAACAATCTTATTGAAAAAAAAAACAATCTTTGGAAGGAAATATAGTACATTTTTTTTCTGCCACAGCTGCTTACTGAGCTTTAATAAAATTTGCCGTTTATTATGATCGATAAGATCACTTGGACGATAGCCTCTATTTTTCTCTACTATACAATTCATTTTTATCGTATTTATTCAATGAGGTTCGGCGTTTAGTATTATTTAATAATATTCATGAAATTTAATGCAGCCCGTATCCATTAAATTTCATAAGCACAAATAAAATTAAAATAATTAACAAACGATCTTCGCTTTTAAATGTATATTACACATATACATTATGTGTATAGTGCGTAAAAAGAGCGAACGAAATGTTCTCGAACCTGCTAATTATAGAAACTCTTGTTTTGAAACTTATAAACGAGCATAGGGGCATGTGCTACAAGGAACGTGTATATATATGTATAGGTATATATATTTGTATATACACATCGCATCACTTAAATAGGTTCACTGCACCAGCCATACATATCTGTGACTTCCAATCGTAAGATAGATTGGTCGCCTGTAGCAGAACTCATTTTACGATACACTTTTGTAGTTTTTCTGAGGATACATTAACAGAAGACCATTTAGTAATGCACTATGGGGAATTTGACCACTTTTTTTGGCCAAAACCCATTTTTTAAAAGACGTTAAACTAAAAGTGTGTTTTTTAGAATACATCAATAGAAGACTAATCTTCAATGGTACGTTCCAGGAATTTCACATCAAAGCGACAGCTTGCACTGCTTGAATTTTATTATTAGGTCATAACTTTAATTTAATCACAAATTTAATTTCGATAGGTATTTATAGAGTGGGCGTGGCGCTCCGATGAAACAAACTTGCGCTGCGTAGGAAGCCCAAAAATTTGTGTGATTAATCCCAACCTTCTAGCTTTTGTAGTTTCCGAGATCTCAGCGTTCATACAGACGGACATGGTTAGATCGACTCGATAATGATGCTGATTAAGAATATATATATATATATAAACTTGCGCTGCGTAGGAGGAAAATCTCAACCTTCTAGCTTTTGTAGTTTCCGAGATCTCAGCGTTCATACGGACAGACAGACGGACATGGCTAGATCGACATGGCTAGTGCCCCTGATCAAGAATATATATACTTTATAGGGTCGGAAACGCTCCTTCTTCCTGTTACATACTTTTCCCCGAATACAATATATCCTTTTACTCTACGAGTAACGGGTATACAAATTCAACGAATATGTTAACCCCGAATCGAGTGTAAAAATCAGAAATTTTTTCTGACAAAAATGGTAGATAATAAATATTGCGAAAATTTTAAAATGTTTTCCTCTTCCTTTCACCGACTGCTTTCCGCATAAAGGCGTTAAAAAAAAACAGATCTGTTCGGAAAAAAAACAAAATGACAGCACTGGCTATGAGTGATATTGGGGTTATAAAGCGTTGGTCAAAAGAATTTTATGACCCTTACTACCAAATTATTATTCATGGGAGGTAAATGAGGTCCGTTCTAATTTGGAGTGCACAATATCGAGTGCAGATTGACCGTATTGAGTCGGTACAAAAAAAAAAATTATTTTTAATATTCGTGCTTTTTGGACTGGGATCCTTCCTTCCAAACTGGATTACTATTGCTAAATTTGCCTACACTTGTAAATCGTAGAACATTGCTTGGTACTATTTTTTTCCAAAGTCTTAAAATAGGTTATATAGATTCTGTAGAACTGGTAAACCTTTTAACTTTTAATATTCCCGTTGGACTCCAAATTATTATCCTCTTAATTTGCCACGATGTACATCAAATTTAAGTCTGCATGAGCCCATTCGCGTTCTTTGTAACTCATTTTAAGTCATTTGGTTAAATCTGTTCGATTCTGTTTATGTGTCCCGTCTATATTTGTTTGCGAATTTTTACCCAAATTTATAAACAAAACCCGTAACCCGTAAAGCACGCGTGCTTGGTGTCGTTGGCCCACTTGTTTGTACTGCATCCAAAAATAAAATAAAAACTTTTAAAAAACTTTAACATCAAAACAAACAATGAATCCGTTTGCCTCTGAGACCTCCGGAAAGTTCGCCAATTTCAGCATTTTTTGAACTTTGAGGTCCTTGTGCTAAGAATCCTTGTGTCGGGGAACTTTTTGAAAAACACAGTTTAACTTGGGAATTCGTAACGAATTCAAAAATATAGCATCCATCGAGGTAAATTTTAGATGTTACATAGTGTAATCATTCTTTACGGTCCCTGATAAATGTCGTTACGACTTAAAAATAATTTTAAAAAATTGTCGACGAAGAATTTTGTTGAGCCACATACTAATTTTATTTTAACCTACCCAAGAAGGGCCACAAAAGAAGTTTGAGTTTTATTTTTGATCGAAATAATAAAAGTCAAGGAATAACTATCATTTTTTAACTTTTATTATAAAACTCAAATATAACTGTTATCTGTAAATCGAAAAATAAAACTAAAACAATCACTTATTTTTTACTTGTTATTTTGTTCAACTTTTATTGTATAACTCAGCAAATAACTGTTATGCCTTTTGTTTTCCATAGAAATATGAAAATAGGTGTTAAAATTTGATTTTTGAAATAAAACTCATAAAAGTTACGGTCACTAAAAAAAACTGCATTTCTGAACGTTAGAATTTTCTCTTTATATCTTTTTAACGAATGGTCCGATTTGAAAATTTCGATAGGTATTGATAAACACAATAAAACTGCATTTGTACTTTTCCGAAATCTTTAACGATGTGGGCGCCAGACTCATTATAACCGTTACTCGTAGAGTAAAAGGGTATATTGTATTCGTGCAAAAGTATGTAACAGCTAGAAGGAAGCGTTTCCGACCCAATAAAGTATATCTATTCTTGACCAGGGTCACTAGCCGAGTCGATCAAGCCATGTCCGTCTGTCCGTCTGTATGAACGCTGAGATCGCAGAAACTACAAAAGTTAGAAGGTTGAGATTTCCCACACATATTCTTGGGCTTCCTACGCAGCACAAGTTTATTTCAGCCGAGCGCCACGCCCACAATCGCCCACTAACGATTTTAAAATGGGTCCTGCGCCCACATCTTTAAAGATTTCCAAAAAGTACAAATGCAATTTTGTTGTGTATATTTATACCTATCGAAAATTGCATTTATACTTCTCAAAAATCTTTAAAGATGTGGGCGCAGGACCCATTTTAAAATCGATAGTGGGCGATTGTGGGCGTGGCACTCGGCTGAAATAAACTTGCGCTGCGGAGGAAGCCCAAGAATATGTGTGGGAGATCTCAACCTTCTAGCTTTTGTAGTTTCCGAGATCTCAGCGATCATACAGACGGACAGACAGACGGACATGGCTAGATTGACTCGGCTAGTGATCCTGATCAAGAATATATATACTTTATGGGGTCGGAAATGCTTCCTTCTCCCTGCTACATACTTTTGCACGAATCTAATATACCCTTTTACTCTACGAGTAACGGGTATAAACATATCTGAACGTTTATAACATATCCTAGAACCAGTATGCATACATATTGCTGACTGGGGGAGAGCCTAACCCCCCGTACCCTGCACTCCGCTCATACTACGCCTCTGTCTAGCCAATATTAATATGGCAAATTTGTAAGCAAACCCAAATTTCTGCTGTTTTGGTAATTTATACCAACTTTGGAACTTTATAGGAGTACAAGGTATATTTTTAATTAATATTAGTTATATTTACGAAATGCAGAACCTATTCTGCCACTTTGCTGCAAATATTGATGTTTTCGTACGCATAACAGCTTACATTTTGGCAGCGACATAGCAACCTGCTTGCAAACTCTTTTTTGCTCATAACAAACTACAACAAATTAAAAAAAAAACCCAAAAAACAATGAGCTGAAGCAATAATTAATTTTTCCCGCCATCGATTTGATTTGTTCTCGCAGTCATCGTTCCAATTTTCACAGTCAAGAGGAAGAATTCAGAGTTGCACCGAGAAAACATCGCCTAACTATCGCATAAAAGAGCCCGTCAAAGTCCGTCAAAATTGGATGGCGGACTACATGGGAAATTGTTGGAACGGCAAAACCTTACGGACCATTCGTTCAACGGATGGTAGATGGTGGATGGAGCTCTGTGGGAAGACCCTATTAAAAAACTATATTTTTTTGGTTTTCATAAAGGAAAAAAAATGGTTTTGATGGTTTATTTTAAAAGTAAAGGGCTAAAAGTACAAAGCGCTTTTTATTGAATATAATACTTACTTTGCAGGTTAATACATCATTTTGCTGTTGACCTTTTGATTCGATCCTATCACTTTGACATTGACTTTGCTTGAATTTATTTTGTGCGTTGAGCTGCTGAGCTAAGATCTGTTGCTGTTGAATTTGACTTGCCAGCTCATTCTGTTTCTGAATAAGTTTCAGTTCTTGCTCTTTAAGCTGAGTAATTTTTTCCTGGGCTTTTATATTTATATCAATGTCCGATATGATGTCCAGAATTTGATTATTAAAATCGTTCTGTAATGTAAAAATAAAAAGTGAAAGAAAATGGTAATCATGTAGGTAAAATGTTGCAAGAAATATTTTTTTAAACCATTTGTATACCCCAGCAGAGGGTATTATAATTTTAGTCAAAATTTTGCAACGCAGTGAATGAGACGTTACCGACCCTTTACATTACAATATTTATTTTTGATCAGCATTACTAGACTAAACGAAACAGACAGCCAGATTGACGGACAGACGAACATAGCTATCTTGATAATGATCTAGAATATATCTTCAGACGTGCTATAAATCGTTCGAAAGGTAATCACGTCGCACACTCTCCTGGTGCGCTTCCTCACTACGTGAACTGGAGCTCGAAGCTTGCAGATCATTTCTATTTAATTACAATCAAGAGAGAACGCTATAGTCGGATGCTGGATACCCGTTATTCAGCTAAAGGAAGTGCGAGGGATATGGAGACATAAAACATTGATCGCGCATAACTTTTTATCGAATGGTCCGACTAGAAAAATTTGGTCTACATTTCGATAGCTATTGATAAACACCATAAAACTGCATTTTAACTTTTCTGAAATCCTAAAAGGTGTGGGCGCCTGACACCTTTTGAAACCGTTTAGGGCGATTGTGGGCGTTAGAGATGGCGTGGCCCTCGGCTGAAACAAACTTGCGCTGCGTAGGAAGCCCAAGAATATGTATGGAAAATCCCAATCTTCTAGCTTTTGTAGTTTCTGAGATCTCAGCATTCATACGGACAGACAGACAGACAGACGGACAGACAGACGGACAGACAGACGGACAGACAGACGGACAGACAGACGGACAGACAGACGGACAGACAGACGGACAGACAGACAGACAGACAGACGGACAGACAGACGGACAGACAGACATGGCTAGATCGACTCGGCTAGTGATCCTGATTAGAATATATATACTTTATGAAGTCGAAAACGCTTCCTTCTACCTTTTACATACTTTTGCAGGAATACTCTACTAGTAACGGGTATAATTACAAAATTTTGAATTTTGTATTATTTTGAAGGACTTGGCTAGATCGGACTCATCTAGTAATGCTAATCAAGAATGTTGGAAACGTCTCCTTACAGCATTGCTGCCTTTGATTGAAATAAAAGTGTCATATATAATTTATAGTTTAAAACCTTTATTTGTAAGCCGTATTTAATTTTTTTTATAATGAGTTCTGGCTAATTCTTGCTCTGATACTGTTATTTTTCTTTTCCCACTTGGTAGAATCAGTGGTGGACTTGCCATAATGGCAATATAGGCAGCTGCCTAGGGTGACAAATTTTCAGGGGCGGCAAATTTCTAACAGTCAAAAGCGGGGAGATACATATAGAAAAAAATTAAATCTTTTTCTTTTTGAAATTGGTAAAATAGCTCTTTAAGAATGTGTCACGAAGAAATTCGAACTATTTTGAAACGTATACCAAGATGTATTTCATTACATTTAATGCGTTTTTCTCGAAACCATGTTTCCTAAGCTGCAGATCGTGTACCTCAAAAGTAATGCTTCGATCATCATGCTGCTTTTACAGAAATGTTTGTAATGAAATTTTTCACTGTCTGAACATACTTAACGTAGAAATTTGTACGCCTAGGTATTTTTTGTAAAAACAACAACTACACTACACTACACAACTACACTACAACTTACACTAGGTTATATGAAAAACACCTTTTGGCGAAGTAAAAAAAAACTAGAGGCGATCGTACATTCCACATACAAAAGTTCTGATATCAACTTTTGTGACTAAAATTATTTTACATTCGAAAAAATGTAGGGTGGAGATAGATAATGTAGATGTAGAACTGTAATTTGTTCATGTCTTTCGTGATTTTTTTTTAGACCAATAAGGGGTTGTTCTGGGATTTTTAACTTGGCATGTTGATTACATTGTTCTTGTATAATTTAAACCAGTTTTTAATATTTTTTACCTTTCAAAATGGCGGCCGTGGGAATTTTTTTTGTTAGGCATATCTACTGCATAAGGAAGGTAGGTGCCGTCATCCTAGTATAAGTTTCAAAAGAGTTGAAATTTCTTCGTGAAACTTTCATTACACATTTTTAAAATTAAATTAAATGAAATTAAATTAAATTAAATTAAATTAGATAAAAAAAATTTTAAACAAGAAAGCAGCTATATGATATAGTCGTCCGATTTTTAACCCAACATTCAGAAATATATACACAATAATATTCCTAGGAGAAGAAGGTAAAATGTCAAAAACACCGAAGCTATACTTTTGTTCCATTATTATACCCATGCAGAGGGTATATGATTTTAGTCAGAAGTTTGCAACGCAGTGAAGGAGACGTATCCGACCCCATAAAGTATATACTCAGCGGCGAAAATTGCCATTTCAAAATGGATTACGAATGCATTACTTCTCCTCCAGTAATAGGGAAACAATGGATTACAACATGGATTACTTTGCCATAGGCATGGCCGCCTTGTAATGTGGTCGGGACACAATTTGCATTACTAGTAATGGGAAAAGTATGCTAGGGCCGAGACACCTTCGGGTCTCCATTACGAATTCACTATACTTTCCCAAAATTGTAATGCAAAATGTAGACAGACTAGAGAAAATTCAACATACATTTTGAAAAACGTATACTGAGTTGTAATGCTGTTCATTTATGAAAACAAAAAATATTCTTTCCTCATGTAGGAATTGAACATGGGTATTATTGTATAATAGATGGAAAGGCTAACCGCTCGGCCATTGTCTGTGCTTTTTTTTAGTTCGTTAAACTATACTAAGAATGCATGCTGTTATTATTCAAGTTCCGAAGCTCAAACGTGACGGAGGGGAAACGAAGTTACGGCTGATCAAAGTTCTTATCCCCACCTCCTTGGCACTCCATTTAGCTGAGTAACGGGTATCTGATAGTCGGGGCACCCGACTATAGCGTTCTCTCTTGTTATACCCTTGTAGAGGGTATTATAATTTCAGTCAGATGTTTGCAACGCAGTGAAGGAGACGTTTCCGACCACATAAAGTATATATATTCTTGATCAGCACCAATAGCCGAGTCTATCTAGCCATGTCCGTCTGTCCGTCTGTCCGTTTCTATGCGAACTAGTCTCTCAGTTTTAAAGCTATCGCGATGAAACTTTCCCGAAAGTCTTCTTTCTATTGCAGGTAGTACATATGTCGGAGCGAGCCGGATCGGACCACTATATCTTAAGGCTCCCATAGGAATATTCAAACATATATAAGAAAATTCATTGTTACTTTGTAGGAAGTAGGCGTTTTAATTCTTGACTACTTAAAAACAAAATTCAAAAATAGAAACGCTGAATCTGGAATCCCTGGAACTGCACCGAGTGAGTATTACTTTATCTGCAAGGGTATATAAGCTTCGGCTGGCCGAAGGTAGCTTCCTTTCTTGTTTTAAGGTGTGTTTGTGATTGTTGACAAAAGGAAATCGTTAACAAACAAAAATACGAAGTCATAGGAGCTCTGATTACAACTTCATTGTCGAAAAACAGCGATCGTAATCGATTACAATGTCTACACTTGTAATGCATTTTTTCTCCAGACCCCATTCACATGTTCGCCGCTGGGTAAGGTAAAAAAGAAGTGACGATCGCACAATCAACATACAAAAGTTGTGATATCACATTTTGTGACGAAAAATGCTTGTATATTCGACTCAATAAATATACATACTTTATAAAATATTCCCATACCCATTAATTTTTGAAAAAAAAAAATTATTCAAATCGGTCAACTGTATCTTATAGCTGCCATATAAACGCTTATTACAAAGGGGAATATCTCGGTTCTATTTCAATATTGGTTCATATAAATCGGGATTAAGTTATTATTTATCATTTTAACTCTATGCTTACCTTCTTTTTAATTGGTCAATGATATCTTATAGGTGTCATTTATGTCTACATTTTTAGTAAAATAACATAATTTTAAATTTAAAACCTATTTTGTTTATTAATTATTATCTTCATCAATACCTTCACATAAGTCAAATATCTTCTTGATCTTGGGGCGCGCGGATGAACCAGGGCTGACGATATTTAAAATTATGAACATTTCTTGCTAGCTTAAACGGCGGTTTTCTCAAAAGAGGCACAAAAGGGCAGGCTAATTTTTTCAGAATTTGTAGTTAAATATATAAACTTTTTTTTACAAAAAGAATTAAACGGGGATCTAGGGTGTAACACTACATTACGTCCAAGAATATCCAAAAAAAACTAATTTTTTGTCCACTTTAAAAAATTAAAAATAGTAATTATGCACTTACATTTTTTTTTTTATTTCTAAAAATTGGTTACTCTTCAAATTGCAAACGTTACATATACAACTTAAACTTTTAAGCGCTTTCAGCAAAAATGTCAAAGACGAATAAAAATACTTTTTTTTTCTTATTGGCTACAATTCTATTTCGAACAAGAAAGGAAGTTAACTTCGGCCAGCCGAAGTTTATATATCCTTGCAGGTATGCTTGTATGCCTGTCTATTATTTTTTTTATTATTCCTATGGGAGCCATAAGATATAGTGGTCCGATCCGGCTCTTTCCGAAATATGTACTACCTGCAAAAGAAAGAAGACTTTTGGGAAAGTTTCATCGCGATAGCTTTAAAACTGAGGGTCTAGTTCGCATAGAAACGGACATACGGACATGGCTAGATGGACTCGGCTATTGATGCTGATCAAGAATATATATACTTTATGTGGTCGGAAATGTCTCCTTCACTGCGTTGCAAACATCTGACTGAAATTATAATACCCTCTGAAAGGGTATAAAAAACAACTTTAAAAATCTTCAGTGGGAAAACCATTCATCACAGATCACGGTTTCTTTTTGATTTGTATAGAAAATTCAATTGTTTTTAAAGTTGCATTGCAAAATTTTGGGAAATCTAAAACAAAAAACATTTTGGCAGGCTTTTTGTTCTAGACGCCCCACAGTGCGCAGTAAAGAAGACATTATTCTGTATTCGTGCAAAAGTATATAACACCTAGAAGGTCATATACACAGCTAGATCGAATGGGCTAGCGCTCCTGATCAAGAATATATATACTTCATATACTGTCACATACTTTTGCACGAATGCAATATACCCTTTAATTCTACGAGTAACTGGTATAATATTTCGTTAAGGGGAGCAATATTTTTCATTACTGTACGAGTAATTTCCGTGATCGCCGCTCAACTAATTGATGCTTGAATGTGATAATTATTCTTCTTGAAACCGAGAACACTTTTACTAAGATTGACAACTTATTATCAAAAATGTGTTCTTAAACCCTCTTAAAGCCTCTTCCCATAGAATTCATCCGTTTGAAACGGTTGGGATTTTTGACGAATGTGAAACTCGTGTTCCCACAGAACTCCATCCACCATCTACCATCCAATAACAGCTGACTGAAGAGCAGTTGCTCAGCTCATCATTAACGAAGGGGGATTTCAACTCGGGAAACTCTCGTAAAATTGCGTTCTCCTAATTTTATTGTAGAATAATACAATAAATAGATTAAGAAAAAAGTTTAAAAACTAATCTGAACGTTTATAACATATCCTACAACGAGTATGCATACATATTGCTGACTGGGGGGGGGAGCCTAACCTCCCGTACGCCACACTCCGCTCTTACTGCGCCTCTGCCTAGCCAATATTAATATGAAAAAATTGTAAACAAAACCAAATTTGTGCTGTTTTTGGTCATTTATAGCAACTTTGGAACTTTATAGGAGTACAAAGTACACTTTTAATTATATTTACGAAGTGCAGAACATATTCTGACACTTTGCTGCAAACATTTCGTACGCACAACAGCTTACATTTTGGTCCACACATAGCAACCTGCTTGCGAACGCTTTTCCGCTCATAACAAACTACAAATAATTAAAAAAAAACCAAAAAACAATGAGCCTGAGCATTATTTAATTTTTTCCCGCCAACGATTTGATTTGTTTTCGCAGTCATCGTTTCAATTTTCACAGTCAAGAGGAAGAATTCAGAGTTGCACCGAGAAAACATCGCCTAACTATCGCATAAAAGAGCCCGTCAAAGTCCGTCAAAATTGGATGGCGGACTACATGGGAAATTGTTGGAACGGCAAAACCTTACGGACCATCCGTTCAACGGATGGTAGATGGTGGATGGAGCTCTGTGGGAAGGCCGTATAAGCACGGAAATACCGAAATCGAGATCGGTGAGACCGACATTTTGCTCGGTGTAATACCTCAAAAGTTGAAGAATCTCAAATGCTTAAAAGTTTTGAGAATATTTTCAAAACCGGAAGAAAATCCGTACCCCACTCAGTCGCTCAAAAAAAAAAAAAAAATTGTTTAACTCAGAATTAACGCAAAATAATTGAAGTATTTTTCTTACCTGTTCAGACAATCTCTGATGTCCGCTATCTTTAGCTGTGGTGTTCAAAAGCTCAGATTCATCCGTCGTTTTTTTCGACTCCGTACCCTATTTCGAGTGCACAAGCCAATAGTTAAAAATCATGATAATACAAGAGAGAACGCTATAGTCGGGTGCCCCGACTATCAGATACTCGATACTCAGCTAAAGGCTGTGCGAGGGAGATGTAGATATAAAACTTTGATCGCGCATAACTTTTTAAAGAATGTTCCGATTTAAAAAATTTCCTCTACATTTCGATAGGTATTGATAAACAGAATACAACTGAATTTTTACTTTTCCGAAATCTAAAGTTTTAAAGGTGTGGCCAACCGACAGCTTTCAAAATCGTGTAGGGCGATTGTTGGCGTTAGAGGGGTTGTGGCCCTTGGCTGAAACAAACTTGCGCTGCTAATCCCAATTTCCAAGCTAGGACCCCACGACTACAAAAGCTTGTAGTTTCCGAGATGGCTAGATCGACTTTTTAGGGTCGGAAATGCTTCCTTCTAGCTGTTACATACTTTTGCACAAATACAATATACCGTTTTACACCACGAGTAACGAAAATAATTACTGAAAGCAAATTAAACATACCTCTTGGGATAACTTTGCATCTTTGTTTTCAATTGTACGTTTTCCACGTTCTTTCAATTCAGTACCCTAAATTACATAAAAATGTTTTTTATCAAGGATACATAAGCATAATTTTAATATTTTAAATATTTTTTAAAGTGATTATAGAAATAAAGAATCAGCGAGCGAAGCTGCGAGGCAATTTCGATAATTACTTGTTCAATTGGCGAAACATCCTTGTGTTCAGTGTTTTCGGCAGTCAGTTCAGATGTAGTGGTTATAGTTTCACTGGAATCCTAAGAATATTAAAGTATATTTATAAGAAATCAAAATAAAAACTAACGACAAGTAAAGTACACTATGGCAAACCAAAGATATGTATACACTTGCAGAGATACAAAGTTGGTCAAAGAAACCCAAAATTGGGTTTAACTACAGGGTGGCCCACAAAAGATTTGCGTATTAAAATCGCTAACTCTCTAAGCGTTGTATTAAAAATATACTAGATGTAGTATATTTTTTAAAATCTTTTTTTATTGGATAGCCCGAACATTGCGGTTTATGTATTATACACCACCTTGGTTAGCTTTACAGTAGCCCATCGGTCGACGCAATTCTTATACACAAAAATCGTTGTTATTCTTTTGGCGACCTTTTTGATGTAATCAAACAAATGGTTTGGCTGGCTCGAGGTCCGGATGCTTTATTGTTTGCTTTGTTTTTCCAATATATTTCGTCAGGGGATTGCTTTCAAATTAAAGCGCACGACGTCCGATCTGTCCGCTGTGGAGTTGTAAACTGATAAGGACCATTTCCACCTCGGTGATTATGTTAATAAGCCAAACTGTCGCATTTGAGGCCGCAATGTTGAGCCTATCCAATAAAAAACAAGAGAAAACTCTATAGTCGGGTGCCCCGACTATCAGATACCCGTTACTCATACCCAGACACCTTTTAAAATCGATTAAGGCGATTTTGGGCGTTAGAGAGGGCATGGCGCTCGGCTGAAATAAACTGGCGCTGCGTAGGAAGCCAAAGAATATGTGTGGGTCATCCCAATTTTCTAGCTTTTGTAATTTCCGAGATCTGAGCGTTCATACAGACAGACATACGGGTATGTCTAGATCGACTCGGCTAGTGGCCCTGATCATATATATACTTTAAAGGGTCGGAAATGCTACCTTCTAGGTGCTACATACTTTTGCACGAATTTAATATACCCTTTTACTCTACGAGTAACGGGTATAAATACTGGTATTTCGTTTTACTTTTCATAAAAATATCATAGTAGCCGTTAAATATTTATCAATTTTAAATTTTTCCCATTGTTAAAAATGTTTTGTTCTCTTTAAAGAATTTTTTTAATGGTATTATTTTGACTATGATATTTTTTTTTCAAAACTAAAGTGACATATTAGAATTTTTCTTTTGTAAATGTGAAGGGTCAAACGTGGTTTTATGCAAATAGTTTCTAGGGCAATATATCTTAGAATGGTCCATTGATTATGTTCCGCGAAAACGATTCATCACTTTTTTCGTGTCCATAAAAATGTTCCAAATTCAAGGCAACTTAGATATTTTTCATTAATAGTTTATTTGGCAAAATTGCTTAGAATTGCTCATTGAATACGTTCCCCCTTACGATTTGACCCACCCTATTATACATATATACTTTTTAAGGTCGGAAATGAATGAAATAATAATACGCTGCTCAAGCAAATCAAAAAAAGGGTATAAGTGTATAACCGGCCAGAGCATTTCAAGAATGCGAATGTTTTAGCATAGATATTTGTAAACTTTGTGAATCCAAGATTAAATCGCAAGATTAAAATATTTTTACGGCGTTAAAGCTCAAAAGCCAATAAAATTAGGGTATTTAATTGCGTTGCGAACTTTTGTAAAAGAAACAAGAAAGGAAGCTAGCTTCGGCCAGCTGAAGCTTATATACCCTTGCAGATCATTCCTATTAATTACAAATCGCAAAAATGTTAAATTTTCTATTATTTTTAGAATAGTAGTTAAATTTTGATAAAATTAAAACCAAAATTCGGAAATATTTAAAAAGAGTCATATCCCAGAGTAGATGAGAAAACATAAAAAAAACCAACGAAGCAATCATTTTTTTCCTATTAATTTGCATTTAATTTTCCGACCGTCTCTATGGCAGCTATATGATATAGTGTCCCGATTTTTTCTAAATTTTATTTGAAAGTCAAAAATATTTAAAAAATAAGATTCCCAAGAGTAGAATGTTTACGTATTTTTTTCGATCTTTCCTATGGGACCTATGAGATATAGTTGTCCCATCCAGACGGTTCCGACTTATATACTAACTGCAATAGAAAGAAGACTTTTGGGAAAGTTTCATCCCGATAGCTTAAAAACTGAGAGACTAGTTTCCGTAAAAACAGACAGACGGATAAACAGACGGACATGGCTAGATCGACTCGACTAGTGATGCTGATCAAGAATATATATACTTTATGGGGTCGGAAAAATCTCCTTCACTGCGTTGCCAACTTCTGACTGAAATCATAATACCCTCTGCAAGGGTATAAAAATCCAAAAACAACTATATAAAATAGTTTGATAGGCTTACAAAACCCCAGCCTATGATGTAGAAATACTTGTACTTGTGAATAAATAATGGTTTAATTTAAATACTAAATAAATACCAAAAAGACCTGTGTGAGCCTATGGCAATGCCGACGTAAAAGCTTAATAATTTGCGGAGATTCTGTAGCTTTACTTTTGGTGATCATATATATATTTATTGTAACAAACGTGGCAAATTTCATGTTGCTCAACATTATAAATTTTGCTGAGCAACACGATATTTTCAGTATTTTTAGGAAACCCCGAACACGGAAAATTTGAAATCGAAAAGAAAAAAGAGAGAGAGGGTTGGTTTCCCGACTATCTAATACCCGTCACTCAGCTAAAGGGGGTGCGAGGGAAATGGATATAAAACATTTTTTTGATTGCGCATAACTTTTTAACTAATGGTCCGATTTGAAAAATTTCTTCAACATTTCGATAGGTATAAATATACACATTTATACTTTTCGGAAATCTTTAAAGGTGTGGGCGCCACACACCTTTTTAAAATCGTAAGTGGGCGATTGTGGGCGTTAGAGGGGGCGTGGAGCGCGGCTGCGTAGAAAGCCCAAGAATATGTGTGGGAAATCTCAACCTTCTAGCTTTTGTAGTTTCCGAGATACCAGCGTTCATACAGACAGACAGACGGACAGACTACTTAATGGGAAACGCTTCCTTCTAGCTGTTACATACTTTTGCACGAATACAATATACCCTTTTACTCTACGAGTAACGGGTATAACTAGATTAAACATGTGTCCAACCACTTGCTAATATAGGGTTTATTAATTTGTATTTAATTGGCCGAATAAAAGTAAGTAAGTAAGCTAATCTTTGAGTAAGTACATATATATAACGAAGAACATTTGTATAAAAATTGCATTTTCAGTAACTTTCCTGAATGAAATTAAAAGGTGGTCAGATGAGGAAATCGATAGCGTTCTTCCCTACATTCAAGACAACATATCTTTTAAAGTAAAATTGTATGCATTGATTTTTGAATTTTGGAATCCATTTTGTAATTTATCAATTTTTTTTTGTGCTTTTCCGAGGCATTTTGACAACTTTTCTGCAATACCTCAAACTTTAGAGTTTTTCAGGGGTGTTCATAACCTAACCGTTTGCCACATTTGATCCAGTTGCCATTTTCGAAACCTGCCAGGAATGATGAATAACTGTGGACGGCAGTCCACGTAGTGACGAAGCGCACCAGGAGAGTGTGCGAAGGCGACTACTATTATATAGCCTCAGAATTGAAAATCTGCTGTGATGGTCCGATCATCCGATCCGACACACCAATCGAAAGATACCACAAAAACTAACAGGATTGCACACCAAGACCTAATAAATTTTAATTGGTTTGGGAGAGGGGGCGGTGAAAGTGTGAAAATGAAAATTTCGAAAATAAGAACTGTTTTTACTGATTTATATAATAAGGGGTCATATGATAAAGTCCGTTCCGTTCAAAAGTTATTGCAAAATCAAGATTATGGGGCTCCTTTCAAAATTAAATGTTTTGTCCCTTTGTTTGTATGCATCAAATCATTGTCCTAGGATCCTGTATTAATGTTTACGAGTTAATCTAGTGAATATAAGAAACATTTTTTCTCCGACTTTTGGAAAATTCCGCCAATTTGGCGGGAAATGATTGAAAAAAGCTACCGACTCGTGCTATACCTCGTTGTAAAGATAATTTAAAATGCTAATCACTGCCTTTGTTAAAATTTGCTAAATGCAATAGTTTTAAATTAATGGCTAAAAGTTGTTTTTTAAATCACTTTTTTTCTATTTTCTCAAAAACGGCTCAAAACATTTCTTTTTACTTTGAAACTACACAGCTTTTGATATTCCTTTTGATATAAAACACTTTTTGTCATAAAAATGCGCATTTGGATATAATTCAGCGATGAAGAGTGCAATCCGTTTCAATTTAGTATGGAGAATACTGCATTCTTACTTGAATGCCCTAAAACCAATTAGACGAGAACAAATTCTTATTAGATATTTTTAAGGTATAAGGAAAACATGTGTGCAACGCAAAAACTTCTGATATAAATCAAAAACACCTCTTAACGAAGTGAAATAGAAGTGACGATCGAACCATCAACATACAAAAGTTTGATCTCAAGGTTTACCTTTTTTTGCTGTAAACTAGTGTATGTTATTGTTATGCAAATCCCCTTTTTTTAATTATCCTGGTTTACGCATTTTTTGTTGAAAATAGCAGTTAAAGTATTATTCCAAATCAGTATAAAATTTGTTTTTTAAAGCGAAATTGACATTTGAGATTAACACTTTGAAAAGCAGTGCTATTGTTGTATTAATATTATTATGTTAAATAATGCTGAATTAGAAGCTTGGGAGCGTTGTATTAATTTAATTATTTAGAAAAATTGAAATACTTTTTCCGTCAAAGATTCCGACTGGTCTTTCAATGCCACGTCTTCGGTCCTTTGAGCTTCATCGCCATCGATTAGAATGTTTGATGTATCTTGTTGGACGGATGCCGTTCCAGCAGTAGATATGCTTGTACCAATAGTATTGTCATCTTGTACATCAACTCTCGGATTCTCCTCAGAAACGGTTGGTGGTATATCGGAAGGTATCGAAGCTTCCGGAGTAATGGGTGGGTCTGCTTTAATAGACACGTCATTTCCGGAGGTCTTTTCGGATTCTAGTTGTGTGCCTTCATCTATCTGAGTAGTGTTATCCACATCTGAAGACCCAATAGGTATTTGCGGCTTATCAACTGGAGCCACAGTTACTGCGACATCTGACTTCGTTTTCTCATCATCATCGGATTCGCTTTCTTCACTTATTAAATCGGCATCCTCGTCACCATCTTTTGGGCTGTCGAGCTTATCTTCATCATTGTCAATGCTTGAATCCAAAGTCTTTTCTACTGAGGTATTATTATCTTTAGGAGCCGATTGGATTACACCAGCTTGAACCTCTTGCGTTCCATTTTTTGTTTCAACTACTTCTTCCTTGAGATTGTAAAAAAAAAACGGTTAATGATGCTAACCAAGAATATGAATTCTTAATAGAGTCGAAAATGCTTTATTTTATTCTTATAAATTAAAAGTCATCACTCCAAAGTCAAAAAAATATGTTTTTAATTCATTTAATGAAAAGAAAATAATAATTGTGTCAATCCACAGGTAAATCTATTCTATTTATTTATTTATTAATTTTTCCCCCTAGATGCAACAACAAAACCTGGCTACTACGTTTCAGAAAGACAGAAGTACGGACAAAAGGACAGACTGACATGTCTTGATCGACTTGGCTGTTGATGCAGTTCAAGAATTTAACGAATTATGCAGGAAATGTAGTAGTTAGTACATTGGAAACTTTTGACAGAAATTTTAACATTATCTCCAAAGGTCTTCAATTTTAAGTGTCATTTCTTACGGAAGACTTTTGATATTCGTACAGGAGGAAATCACAGAAATCAACCAAAGAGGGTTACAAAAATGTACATTATCGTCGCTACGTAATTAAATGTTTTATTTTAGTTTCGATGTCTGTTTACCTTTAATAATTCCTAACTGACTTACATATCTATAAAAATAATGTTAATACATAGAATTTTAAACTGTTAGCGTAAACACTAATTATTTTAAAACTTAAAAAAACCAAGTTTTAAAACACCCTTGCCGATTTCACGAATGAAAATTTGACTAGAATAGCATCAAAAAACATGAAATAATAAACAAAAAATATTTGCAAATATGTCTTGAAAAAAATGCAAGAAATTTAAGATATAGACGGTCAATCTGCACAGGCCCTTACCCTGATCGAGGTATGCGCAAAAAAAAATGGAAAGATTCATTTCAATAGTCAGTACTGCGCGAAATATCTTGAAAAACGTCAAATTCTACGCGCTTTTACCCTGATTAAGCTGAGCTTTTAAAGTGCGCTAAATATCTTTAGTTTTTGCACTGCGTATAAATATTTTAGGACGGCTGTGCAAGTTATGGGTATAGAAACAGAAGGACATCGACTCCACTATCAAGAATGTCAAGAATATATTTACTTTATGGCATCGGAAACGTCTCCTTCACTGCGTTACAAACTTCTGACTAAAATTATATTATCCTCTGCAAGGTTTTATGTTTCAAGAAAATTACTTCCTAAATAAATTGATGAATAATGACTTTCAGTTTGGTAATATTGATATGTTCTCAAAGACTTTTCTTTGAATTTCTAAAACATTTAAGAGATGTTTAAAGACATTCGCATAAAGAATATAGTTTGAGTTTATTGTAAACCATATTTGTATGTTTGGAAAAAAACGTGAGCCTTGTAAAAAGAATAAGCAATCTGAAATGCTTACAAAAACTCTAAATATTACATTTTAATTTATTGTTGCCTTAATTTACTTACCACGATATTTGAGGCAGAATCCATTTCTCAAATCTTTACCAATCTAAAAAATAATAATACGTTAAAATAAGTGGGGTTAACCAATAAACTTGTTAGTAAACCTTTCATTGTATTAAGAAAAACAGCAACAGGTGCTTTAATGAGCACACACATAAAAGTTAATAGATATAAGAACATATACCTATAATATGTATATGTCTGCCTAACGCATTGTTTTTACTTGTGCAAAAAATGTACATATAAACACGAGGGGCAGAAATTAAAGTTTAGCGGTCCTGTTCTTATGTAATACAATTTATGCACGATATATAAACAAAATTTTCTGAATAAAATAATTATTCTTTCTTTTACAAATTTCACGTATTTACAAAATTAAACACATATACCTGCTTATTTATAATGTTTAAAATGTTTACTGCATACAATACTGTACAATCGAATTATTGAAAGATAATAATAAAACTAAAATCCGTATAGGCCACAAGAATGAACAGGAGTACATACGCTTTAGAATTTCGAGAATATGAGTGCACATCAAAGATAGCTTCCACACTGTCCACATTTTGCCTATTTACTATATATTCGATTCACATACAACATTTCAGAAAATTTAAATTTAAATCTCACGCATACAATAAAAATATTCACAAATACAAAACTATTTATTTGTGTATTTGTACCTTTACGAATACACAACAGCCTCTATGCACAATGTCAAACGAACACAGCGATGCGATATAAGGTTTTCATTAAATTGAAATGTTTAAGTATATTCACTTCATTTATATTTATTTGAAGATTTTAAAGTATTGTAATATAACGGAATGGAAAAGAGTTTATAAAAACATTTAGTATTTTTCGTTATAAGGGAGAGTTCTGTAGATTGCACACTGGGCCAGAAAGTTAATTTTTTGGCCAAAAATCTGTAATTTCTTTCCTAGGACAGTTAGAGGGATGCAGTTTTTTGCGTTTTTTTCTTAAGAGATTGAACTTTCCAACGAACTAAAAGTAAAATTTCTTGGAATTTTATATGATATAGATAATCCAAACCAAAGTCGGAAAATTTTACGTACTTTTCGGTTTATTATTTTTAAAACAAGAAAGGAAGCTAGTTTCGGCCAGCCGAAGCTTATATACCCTTGCAGATCGTTCCTATTAACTTACAAATCGCAAAAAAAAGTATTATTTTGGCATTATTTTTTCTATCCTTCCCTATGGCACCTACATAATATAGTCGTCCGATCTTTGTTAAATTTAATTCGAAATTCGGAAATATTAAAAAAAATCATATCCTACAGTAGAAGGAAATACAATAAAAACCCACGGAGCTATAATTTGCTTCCATTTAATTTCCCATTAATTTTTCGATCGTTCCTATGGCAGCTATATGTTATAGTCGTCCGATTTTGATAAAATTAGAATGGAAATTCGGAAATATTTAAAAAGAGTCATGTACTAAAGTAGAAAAGAATACAAAAAAAACAAGAAAGATTATATCTATTAATTAACAAATTGCAAAAATGTTCAATATTCCATTATTTCTCATTAATTTTCCAATCGTTCCTATGGCGGCTATATGATATAGTAGTTCAATTTTGATAAAATAAAAACCGAAATTCGGAAATATTTAAAAAGAGTCATATCCTAGAGTAGAAGAGAATACAATTAAAACCAACGAAGCAATATATGACATTGTAGTTCAATTTTAATAAAATTAAAACCGAAATTCGGATATATTTAAGAAGAGTCATATCCCAGAGTTGAAGAGAATACAATATAAAACAACGAAGCAATAAGCCATAGGAACGATCGGAAAATTAATGAGAAATAATAGGAAATTGAACAATTTTGCGATTTGGTATATAAGCTTCGGCTGGCCAAAGCTAGCTTCCTTTCTTGTTTTTATACCCTTGCAGAGGGTATTATGATTTCAGTCAGAAGTTTGCAACGCAGTGAAGGAGACGTTTCCGACCTCATAAAGTATATATATTCTTGATCAGCATCACAAGAGGAGTCGATCTAGCCATGTCCGTCTGTCCGTCTGTCCTTCTGTCCGTCTGTCCGTCCGTCTGTCCATCCGTCTGTCTGTCTGTTTCTACGCAAATTAGTCTCTCAGTTTTTAAGCTATCGGGATGAAACTTTCCCAAAAGTCTTCTTTCTATTGCTGTTAGTATATAAGTCGGAACCGGCCGGATCGGACAACTATATCTCATGGCTAGATCGACTTGACTAGTGATGCTGATCAAGAATATATATACTTTATGGGGTCGGAAACGTCTCCTTCACTGCGTTGCAAACTTCTGACTGAAATCATAATACCCTCTGCAAGGGTATAAAAATTTTCGAAACTTTTAACTATTTGTGTATTTTTATACCCGTTACTCGTAGAGTAAAAGGGTATATTAGATTCGTGCAAAAGTATGTAACAGGTAGAAGGAAGCGTTTCCGACCCTATAAACTATATATATTCTTGATCAGGATCACTAGCCGAGTCGATCTAGCCATGTCCGTCTGTCCGTCTGTCCGTCTGTCTGTCTGTATGAACGCTGAGATCTCGGAAACTATAAAAGCTAGAAGATTGACATTTTGCATGCAGATTCTAGGAGTTCCTACGCAGCGCAAGTTTGTTTCAAAAGGGTGCCACGCCCCCTCTAACGCCCACAATCGCTTGTATACGATTTTAAAAATTTCAATAATTCGGAATACCTATATGAACCCAATATAAATACCTATCGAAATGTAGAAGAAATTTTTTAAATCGGACCATTCGTTAAAAAGTTACGTCGGATCAAAGTTTTTATCTCCTTCGCACTCCCTTAAGCTGAGTAACGGGTATCTGATAGTCGGGACACCCGACTATAGCGTTCTCTCTTGTTTGTTATAATTTTCGCCAACTTAAACAATTTTGTTTTTAATTTTAGAAGGCCACTGTTTTTTTTTTTTTTGAAAACGTTGAATTTTGGTTATATGCTTATGTTTTTAGCTGTAACTTTGATGTTATAAGCTGAACAGCTGCAAATAAGGTTCTATATTAAGGGGGGAGATACATATAGAACTGCAATTTTGTCATGTTTTTGGTGATTTTTTTTTACCAATAAGGAATAGTGCTGGGATTTCATAACTTGGCATGTTGATTACATTGTACTTATATAATTTTACCCAATTTTTTTTTTTTGAATCTTTCAAAATGGCGGCCGTAAGAATTTTTTTGTCAGGCTATATTAAAAAAAAGTAGGCCAGCTGCGGATCGTCCACAGGCCGCTGTGTAGATCCGATTTTTATGAAACCAAGTTTATTTTGTTAAGAAATAACGTAAAAACTGTCTAAACCTAACTTACATAAAATATCTGAAAAACTCTTTTTGTGGCACTCTTTCAAAGTCAAAAATATTTTTTTTCATATATTTTTTGTTGTTTTTTCTTAACAAAAAATACTTAACCGTACAAATTTTTACTTAAAGTAGGTTCAGACAGTCGGCAATTTCATTACAAACATTTCTGTAAAAGCAGCATGATGATCGAAGCATTACTTTTTGAGATACACGATCCGCAGCTGAGGAAAACATGGTTTCGAGAAAAACGCATTCAAAGTAATGAAATATATCTACTGCACAAGGAAGGTGGGTGCCGTCATCCTGGTATAAGTTCCAAAATAGTTCGAATTTCTTCGTGAAACTTTCATGACACATTCTTAAAGAGTTGTTCTACCAATTTAAATAATAAAAAAAAATGGAATTTTTTTGTCTATATGTATCTCCCCCCTTAAAGATAATTGATAACAAAAACAAAAAACTTTGCTTTACATTTTTAAGATTTTTTTTTATTAAATGGTAACAATTCAAACTTCATGTGTACATCGTATAGTGGAGACAGTGATTAAAATATGTCTTCTTGAGCACTTATCAACCGTTTTACGGTATGATCAATAAGGGATTGTAAACATATTTCAGCATAGGATTCTCTTACTTTTATACCAGTAGGATAGCATTGACTCCTTAAGGAGATCATAACATGGATATAATTTTGGACAGACAATTTTTGTATGCAGCCGCAAGGTATTATACTGGTGCATTGATAATTTACTGTCTATCATAAGTGCAAGTGCTTGATCTGCTGAATGGCGTTTTGCAGTGCTATTAGAAGATAATTTAGCTTTTTAATTATAGTCCGCGTGGACGGGGTAGCCTTTGGTAATTCATTAATTAATTTAGTTGAATCCCGTTTTCCTTCCGCACGCAAAGCCTGTTCTGCGGCTGATAGCAATTGATCCTCATCTATCGTTGGCAACAATTCTTGGCTTTCCCTTTTTTGTGTTTTAAAGCAACACTCAGAAAAGGCTTTTTGTGACCTCCCTCTTGTACTTGTGGTGGAAGCAATGACATAAATGAGACAGTCTTCGCCATTTAATGTGACCTGAAGGCCACTTGCATTATGAGCAAAAAACCTGACTTTATCTCTCCTAGATTTCTCAAATCGGTTTTGAAACTCAAAAGATAGTGTAATTTCAATTTGAAGTGATCAATGTCATTGCCAAACACCATCACTGCGTGCTTTACAAGAACGTCTCGCTGAGCGGTTTTTATGTTTTTCGACCAAACCTCGAAAAATGCAGCTCGGCTTATTTCACTCATTTCTAAATAGAAGGTCTTTGGGTAAAATATCGGCAAGATTTTATTTTAGATTCTGAGTCAGAAGGAATGCATGCGAATGATGTATGTTCTGGTTGGATAGAATACGATAGAATAATATAAGTTTTTTTCCACCAAAAAACAGAAACATAAAAAAATACACTTACTTTTTGGCACTTTTTAAAAAATTGAAAAAAAAAATTTTTTTGTCTTAAAAAAATGTTTTTGTTTTTGAAAGTGGAATAAAATTGTCTAAAGTTTCTGGGAAAAATAACTTTTGGTTGCTCCCACTGATCACGCGATGCAATTGATAGGACTAAACTTTCTCAACTGTTGCTCGCTTCCCAGTGCAATTTCGCATGCATTTCTAAAGTCCAACTTTAAAAACAGCTATCTTCCAAAAAAAATTGTTTGTTCTGTTTTGTGCCTGTTTTCGTAATAGTTGAACATTTCTAAAAGTGCTGCTTAAAGCTCATCGACCTAAAAAATAGTTAAACTTTTGCTAAAAGTCCCGCCAGAGACACACTACACTGTGAGACGGATGGACAGACGGACATACGGACATGGCTAGATCGACTCGTCTAGTGATGCTGATCAAGAATATATATACTTTATGGGGTCGGAAACGTCTCCTTCACTGCGTTGCAAACTTTTGACTGAAATCATAATACCCTCTGCTTTTGCTGCTGCTTCTGAAAAAGTCGGCAGTCACAGTCGAAGCAAAAGCAAAATCTTAGAACTGCCGACTGTCGAAGCAGTAGTAAGTCGTTGCTTTCTGATTTTTAGCTGCTGCTGTGCTGCTGCTTTCAGTCGGTAGCAACAGTCGAAGCAGCAGCTAGCAAAAATTTCTGGAAGTTGCTTTTGCTTCTG